TTAATTTGCATCTCTCTTAGAGCTAGGGATTCTGAACATTTCTTCATGTGCTTGTTGGCCATCTGAATGTCTTCTTTGGTGAAGTGTCTGTTCATATCCTGTGCCCATTTTTCAAATGGATTATTTACCTTTATCTTGTGGTGCTCAAGTATTTTATAAATTCTAGATATAAGTCCCTTATCTGACATATGACTTAAGTTTTAAGAGGTATACATTTAGCAGTAACTGACATAACTATGCTCATCTTTTTCCCCACCTCCATCTCTTTATTGGTATGCAAATAACTATTCATATACCTTATTGGGTTTTTTTTTCATATACACAGTAGAGGGCATGTTTCACACTTTCCATCACTGGCATTACATTTCATGCAGTCATTTCTGTTTATTGTGTTTATTAATTAATAACTGTTGGACTATGCTCATCATTACCCTGCCTGTTCATGTCCCCACCAGATCTTTCCCTTTTCCTTTGGCCCCCTCCCTCCACCTGTCACATTGTGCAACCCTGTGATTTTCCCTCTGCCCATCCTCACTCCTCTGCTCCTACCGCTTCCCCCCTTGGATCCCCATATATGTCTTACTAGTTATCCTTCTATTTTTACAGTAATGTTCTTTTGCAATATTTGTTCTTATGAGATTGAGTTAGTTCATTCAGCATAATGCTCTCCACTCTCCAAAGTTATGTTATCTTTTACAAAGTCATTACTTCTGAGTGCTGTGTAGTATTCTGTTGTGTTACAGTTTCACTGTTTCTCAATCCATTCCGTTGTGTTCGGACATTTGGCCTCTATCCATGTTCTTGCAGTGGTGAATAATGAACACTGCTATGAACATTGGTATACAAATCTCTGCTTGTGTCTCAGTTCTAATGTCCTTGGGGTATATTCTTAGCAGTGGAATAGCTGGGTCTTACAGAGTTTCTATGTTTAGCTTTATTAGGAAATGCCAGATTGTCTTCGAGAGTAGTTGTACCAATCCACCAGCAGTGTATGAGAGTTCTAATCTCTCCACATCCTCTCCAACGTGTATTACTTACTGTTCTATTAAACTTTGCCACTGCTACTGGGGTGAGATGGTATCTCATTGTGGTTTTGATCTGTATCTCTCTTCTTGCCATTGATTTTGTATCCTCACTTTTTGTATATTAAATCTCTGCTCTCCTTTAGGACCCACATGTTGACTGTTACACAGTGTCGTCTATCAAGAGTAAACTAGGTTTGGACAGAGATGCTCTAGTTGGGCTAGCAATACTGCTTGGCTGTGATTATCTTCCAAAGGTACACTGAGATTGTCATATTGATTTACTGGTTAGAATATGTCTTTTAATACATTACATGCTTTTTAAATATAATATAGTTGGATGATTACAAAGAATTAAAAAATTTTTTGAAAAGCTGACTCATTTCACACTGAATTGTGTAAACTGCAGTAAAGGTAATTAGTACCACAGTTTACATCTCAGAATTTTGGTGACCTAGTGGTAAGAAGCTGTGCTTCTATCCTAAAAGAATGCAGTTTGAATCCACCAGCTGCTCCACAGGAGAGGGATGCGAACGTCGTGTGATTAGTTGCCTCGGAAAAGCAACCAGAGTGTCAGCTATGGGTCGGTTCTGACTTGAGGGTCAGTTCTGACATGTGGGTCGGTTCTGCCTTGATGGTACACAGCAACTCTAGATTAATGAAAGAATCACATTCAAGTTTTAATATCCTTTTAAAGAATTGTAGGAATTAATGTTTACTTATATCAATGTTAGTTTTTTACACTGTTTTCTCTTTACTTTTCAATCTCCACTTTAGCTTTCTAATGGTGCACATGCTCAGTGCAGTTATTACTGTTGTGAGGTAACGTAATTATTGGGGTAAGCAGTTTATTCTTCTGTGCCTTGGCACTGCACTGACTAATGTTCATGAACACATTCCATATATCTATATATATCTTAAAATGTATAATATTATACTCTAACATAGCCATAGTACGTGAGTGTGAAGTAATTATTAAGAGTTTAATTCCATTTTTTAAAACATGGTATTTTTAAATATTAAATGGCTGATACTGTAGCTCTTACTCTGCAGCCTTTATGTTCTGCTTACCATCTGTGAATCCTTTCCTACTAAATGCCATACTTCCCTTTTTCCCCAAGAAAAGTCCAAAGAAGAATGGCATAAATTTTAACCTGCCCTTAAGTAGAACAGAAGGAATTCTAGGATACTAACATTATTAAGTTGTGTTTCTATCAGTAGCCAAATAGACACTTTCTTAAATTAAAAGTAAAATTAATAATTTCTTAAATATAAAGATCCTCTAAATATCTTAAAAATAATGATTATTATAATTTTTCTTTTTCAATAATAGGCCCCTATTTCCCACATGATAATTAAAATTAATTTTCCCATATCATAATTCAAATCTAGAAAAAGCTCACTGTTGAATTAGAAAAAAATTTTGCCAAATTATACTGACAGAAGAAACCATCTGCAGTGGTGTTTATATTACTCTCAGCTATTTTGGGGGTTTTATATCCTTTGCAATCAAAGCTGCTCTTTTTTTCGCATTATTCTACTTGAATACTTTTATGCATATGTACTAATGTAATTTACCTTCAAAAAGCTCATTGTTGTTGTGTGCCATCAAGTTGGAACCGACTATAGCTAACCATTTTTTGAGTTTCCAAAGGAGTTAATCATACAGGAGGAAATTATCCATTTTTCTCCCTCAGAGACTGGTGGATTTTAATCCTGTGACTTCAGGATTGTAGCACAGTTTCTACCAGTAGGCCACCAGAGCCCCCTTCAGAAAGCTTAAGTATACCAAAATGCTAATGTTAAAACCAAAACCAAACCCATTGCCATCAAGTCAATTCCAGCTAATAGCAACGTTATAGGATTGAATACAACTGCCGCAGAGGGTTTCCAAAGCTATAAGTCTTTAGAGAAGTCGACTGCCACATCTCTCTTTCCCCAAGCAGCTGGTGGGTTTAAATCATCCCCCTTGAGGTTAACAACTGAGTCACCATCTATACATGATAATACACCATGATAAGTCACCAGGCTAATACACAAGAGAAGAGAGATGCAAAATTTTAACTAATTTAAAAATACAGGAATAGCTGTGAACATAGTGCTAAATTTTGCATGCCTTGTACTTTGCTTTGCCATATGTTACCTTGTTGGTAGCTGGATCCTAAATAAAGGTAGAGTGAGATTGCAGATTTGAGTTAGAGAGGAAATTGCCTAAGCAGACAAGCATCTAAGATATAGACAGTGACAGTTTACTAGCCAGTTTGAAGTATTTATACACTGCTGTTGGCTCAGATGTGTCAGAGATGATGAGAATGGCACAGGATAGAACAGGGATCAGATCTGTTGTTCATAAAATGGTTTGGGTCATACTCATCTCAATGGCACCTAACAACAACAACATGTCTATACCACTACATATTAGCTAGGTGGTAGCCCTGCTTACAAGGACACGTTTATAAACTTTATGGGAACTAGATAACTCAGTTTAAACTGAAATTGCCACATAAATATGTTTTGTTTTTACATTGAAAACTTGGCTTAATTTTTTTTTCATTTCAAGTGTTAATGTTAAACTTTTTGTTCTAGTTGGATGTGTCTTAAAAATTAAATGTTCATGTAATTTAATGAACTTAACTTTTCCCTTCTTATAAATATACAAATGTTAAGTAAAATTAAGTTATTGCCATAAGAATAAGCACTAAAGTTTTCTCAAATTCTTCCCCTCCATCTCCTAAAAGAAATACTATCAAGTGATATTTTGTGTGCTTTCTTATTTACATAGACTGACTTTATAATTACTACTTAATTGACCAATCGAGATCATATTATAAGCTATTCTCTTAGTTTTGGTTTATATAGTGGTAGATCATGAATATTTTTACCTAGCATTCCGTAGAGAAATGCCTCGTTCAGTTGCCAAATTTTTCATTGAACATATATGCCATACTTTACTTAACTATTCTCTTGTGATTAATATTTTAATTTTTCTCCCCACATTTTTAAAGGGAGTCCCTGGAGTTGGAAAAGAGCAAGCATTAAAACTTATACAGACTTTGAGAGGGCAAAGTTTGCTACAGAGGTAATTAAAAATTACTTTTCTTAAGACATTGGTCTTTTATTCTTGTTGAATTTAATAACCAATATGACTAAAAAAAATAGAGTATTGTATCTTGAGTTAGTCTATATGTTCATTTTAAATGTTAAATGGATCTTAGCTGAAAGCAGGGAATACCAGAGGAATGTCTATCTGTTTTTCATTCACTATGCAAAGGCATTTGACTGTGTGGATCATAACAAACTGTGGCTGACTCTGAGAAGAATGGGAATCCCAGAACACGTGATCATGCTGATGCGAAACCTATACTTGGACCAGGAGGCAGTCCTCAGAACAGAGCAAGGGAACACTGCGTGGTTCAAAATTGGGAAGGGCGTAGGCCAGGGATGCATCCTATCTCCATACCTTTCCAACCTATATACAGAACAGATTATCCGGGAGGCTGGGCTCTATGAGGAGAAATGTGGGGTCAAGATTGGTGGATGATCTATCAACAGTCTACATTATGCAGATGACACAACCCTGCTTGCTGAAGCACCTGCTGCAGAGGGTCGAGGACTGTAGCCTCCAGTATGGATTGAGGCTCAATGTCAAAAAGACAAAGATTTTCACCACTGAGCCAATTGGAAGCATCAGGATGGATGGTAAAGGGATTGAGATTGTTCACAGCTTTAGTTTGCTTGGCTCCGCAGTCAACACTCTTGGCACCAGTAGCCAGGAAATTAAAAGGCGCATTGCCATGGGAAAGTCTGCTGTTAGGGACCTCTCCAAAGTACTGAAGAGCAGTGGTGTCTCTCTGGAGACTAAGGTGTGTCTGATACAGGCCATGGTCTTTGCAATCACTTATTATGCATCAGAGAGTTGGACAATGACCAAGGAGGATAGAAGAATTGATGCCTTTGAGCTGTGGTGCTGGAGAAGAGTATTGAGAATACCATGGACTGCTAGGAAAACAAATAGATTTGTCCTGGAGAGGGTTAAACCGGGTGGCTCCTTGGAGGCAAGGATTCTGAGGCTCCGTCTAACATATTTTGGACATGTTGTAAGAAGAGACCGGTCCTTGGAGAGGGACATCATGCTGGGGAGGGTGAAGGGACAGCGCAGGAGAGGAAGGCCCTCTATGAGGTTGATTGATTCAGTGACTGGGATAATCGGGATGGGAGTGTGAGAGACAGTGCGATTGGCACAAGACAGAGCAGAGTTTAGGGCTGTTGTACATAGGGTCGCTATGAGTCTCAAGCAACTCGACGGCACATAACAACAACAACAACATTCTGAAGCCTTCCAAAGAGAAAATGACTTAAGCCATGCTGTATTTTTTTATTTTTCTCCAGCACCGCAGATCAAAGGCATCTATTTCAAAAAGGGTGAAGGATAAGGGACAATACCAAGTAAAAGAATACTTAAATGTGTTATTTGAAAGGTAAAACTGATTTTACCAATCAGGATGCCTGGAAAGATCTCTTAATCTGACTGTAGGGAGCTTCAGTGGTTTTGCCCACAGGAAGCTGCACCACTAACTTAAACGTAGCCAGCTTGAATCCACCAGTAACTTGGAGAAAGAAAGACAACCTCCTCCTGTGTGATTTTCATCACTGGAAAACCTACAGGGGGTTCAGGCTATAACTTGACGACAATGAGTTTGTTCTGAGTTAAATGTATAGTATCACTTGCTTAATGAAAGACTATAAGAAAAATGCATATTCCTGCTAAGTTGCTGTTGTTGTTGTTGTTGTTGTTTAATGCCGTCGAGTCGTAGACGACTCATAGCGACCCTATGAACGAACAGCCTGAGCACTGTTCATACATACAGTTTCCAGAGGCAAGCCATTTTGGAAGTGGATGCCGCTCCTGCTTCCAGGCTTGATTTAGTCAGGAAGCTCCAGCCAACAGTGTCCACCATGGGTGCCCATTACCACAATTGGCACATCACTGTCACAGGCTTCAGCATCACAGCAACCACGAGTTACTTCAGTACTTAGGAGAGGTCCCTAACAGCAGACTTTCCCGTGGCAATACGTCTTCTAATTTCCTGGCTGCTGGTGCCGAGAGTGTTGACTGCGGAGCCAAGCAAACTAAAGCTGTGAACAATCTCAGTCTCTTTACCATCCATCATGATGCTGCCAATTGGCCCAGTGGTGAGAATCTTTGTCTTCCTGACATTGAGCCTCAATCCATATTGGAGGCTGCAGTCCTTGACCCTCTGCAACAAGCACTTCAGGTCCTCCTAAGTTTCAGCAAGCAGGGTTGTATCATCTGCATATTGCAGATTGTTAATAGATCTTCCACCAATCTTGACCCCACATTTCTCCTCATAGAGCCCAACCTCCCGGATAGTCTGTTCTGCATACAGGCAAGAAATCTGGAGAACAACCACCTGGCCAACTGACTGGAAGAGATCTATATCTGTTCCCATCCCAAAGAATGGTGACCCAACAGAGTGTGGAAACTACAGAACAATATCATTGATTTCACATGCAAGCAAGATTCTACTGAAGATTATCCAAAAACAACTGGAACAACACATCAGCTGAAAACTGCTAGAAGTCCCTGCTGGGTTTAGAAGGGGTCGTGGTACTAGGGATATTGTAGCTGATGTTAAATGGATCTTAGCTGAAAGCAGGGAGTACCAGAGGAATGTCTATCTGTGTTTCATTGACTATGCAAAGACATTTGACTGTGTGGATCATAACAAACTGTGGCTGATTCTGAGAAGAATGGGAATCCCAGAACACTTGATCGTGCTAATGCGAAACCTATACTTGAACCAAGAGGCAGTCGTCAGAACAGAGCAGGGTAACACTGCATGGTTCAAAATTGGGAAGGGCATACGCCAGGGTTGTGTCCTATCTCCATACCTTTTCAACCTGAAAACATTAACCAATGAAAACATAATAGAGTGCAGTTCTCTTCTGCCATTTGTAGGTTGACCCAAGTCCATGTCTACTTTATGGCAGCAAACTTTTTTGGTTTTTCCATACAATTGGTTATTTTATGTTAGCTTAGAACTTTAACTGAAAGTGAAAAATTACTTTTAATTTTGTAAAAGTCTTAGCGGTGCAGCTTCTTGTGGGCAAAACCACTGAAGCTCCCTACAGTGAGATTAAGAGATCTTTCCAGGCATCCTGATTGGTAAAATCAGTTTTACCTTTCAAATAACACGTTTAAGTATTCTTTTACTTGGTATTGTCCCTTATCCTTCACCCTTTTTGAAATAGATAACTGTTTATGATTCTATTTGTTTGATGCTTGCCAACATATAGAAAAGACAAAAAAAAAACGTTACATGCAAATCATTCTCCTATTGCAGCCTAATTTAAGATTATTTTTAAGAAATGAATGTCCATATACTTAAAATTTGTACTTCATAGACTGTATGTACTCCCAAGGAAAGCTGGCCTAGCAATTTTTTTTTTGTTTTTTTCAATTATCAGTTCATATTCATGCAGATGAAAGAATAGAGTGGCTTAAAATTTAGAATGTGGATTTTGTGATCTTACATTTTTCTCTTGTCAAAACCATTTTCTACTAAAGGTTTAATCAGTGGAATGAAAATTCTTGCGGCTCTGTTCAACAAGCACAAGTAGTTAAAAAACTGGCGCATTGTTCTGTGTGTTCCCATCCAGGTGAGCAGGTACAAAGAGAATGTTATCTCCTGGATATTAATTCCTGGTAACCACATTTTCATTCCTGTTCTCGTTGTGCTTTGTAGGCAACTCTATTAATAGCACTTTCAAACCAATTACATTGTCTTCCTCACTGGGTTAAAAATTCTTTGGCATTACGAGTTATGTCACATACATCTTGACATAGCTGTCTTAACAACAGAGTATTAATAGTGCAGTAGACACTCAGTAAGTGCTTATTAAATTAAATAATGTCATGTAAATGATAATAAATAGGATAGATATTATGATGCTAAAATTGGATCATAAAACTATCTAGTATAAAAATACACTTTAAGAACAAAAGATAGTAAACTGGTAAGTTTTAATAAAATGAAACAGAAACCATTCCTTTTTGCATCACTAATTTATATAAATAATTGTAAATAATTCTTAGTAGTCTTACACATTTGTATTATGTATAAACATGGAGTTGTTATACTAATTTCAGTTGCATCACTGAAAATTGCTTGGGCTCCTCATTAGTTTGGGGAACAAATGGCCTTTTACTCTCAAATGAGTCTATTTGTCTGAGTATGTTGCATTAGCATTGTTAAATGATAGATAAAATCATGGAAGAAAACAAATACTTACAGGTGGCCTCCTAAAGTTTTTTGACAGCTTATGAGTGACAGCTTTAGGTTATATCAAATGTATGCCTTTTCCACAGACTCAGAACAGTGTTTTGAGTGAGTTGTTCCTTTTAAATGAACTAGTGTCCCATACCTGTACTCCACTCATTATTTGTTCAAATCTCAGTATAGTTTAAAAATAATTACACAGGCAGCTGGAAGCTAGATGCAACAAAGCTAGAAAAACAAACCAATAAAAATATCACAACTAGGGGAGCTCTGGTGGCCTAGTGGCAAGAAGCTGCAACTACAATCCCAGAGGTGCACGGTTCGAATCCACCAGATGCTCTGCCGGGGAAGGAGGGGCAATCTCCTCCTGTACCAGTCAGATCTGATTTGACGGTACACACACACAAAAATAAAAAAAAAATAAAAAAATCACAACTACTATATTCTTTTATCTAAATTCACTTTACAAATTATTGTATTATATAATCTTTTTAATACTAACAATTACATCCCACAGTTTTCACATTTATAACTACCACAGAATTTTCCGCATTTGATTATTTTAAATGCATTGGTTCAAGTTCAAGTGAGTATTTTCAGACAAAATAATTCACACTCCCATCCCCCCAGGGGGGGAAAAATGATTTGCTGTCTTGGTATAGAAATTGCTCCGGATCTGCTTTATCCTAGGAATTATCATGGTGTTCATTATTATATTCAACTGAAATATATTAAAAAGTAATGCTAGATGGAAATTTGGATAAGTGCCAAAAATATATATAGACAGCAATTCTAAAATACTTTAAAATTAAACATTTGTATGTCTCTGTAAAGGTTCACCTAAGGATCATGAACGCAATGGATGCAAATTATGTAAAAGTGATAGATTTTGTGAACCACATGATTATGAATACCTTTGTCCATGTGAGTGGCACTGTATCGAACGTGATAGACAACTAAATGCAGTAGAGAACAATATTAAGAAGTAAGTTTTCTAATATCTCTCTTATTCTATAATGAGCAATTTTATAAACTTACATAATTTTTTGGTTTTTTAAAAAAAATTTTACATTGATTTGCATACAAAACTCATATAAATTGAGTTTCACATTTTCCTTCATTCACATTGTGTTTCATACAAACATTCTCATACGTTACGTTTCATAAAATTAATCACCACTGAACTATGCCCACCATTACCCCATCTTTTCAGGTCCCCTCTGCAACTTTCCCATTTCCTTTACCCCCTCCCTCCACCCACAGCATTGTGCAACCTCATGATTTTCGCCGCTGCTCATGCTCACGCCTCTGCTCCTACCCCTTCCTCTCATAGACCCCATACACCTTTTACTAGTTGTCCTTCTGTTTTTATAATAATAGGCTTCTGTGGTATTTATCTTTCTGAGACTGCATTAGTTAGCCTACTACTCCTCCAGTTTGGGTTAGTTAACCTAATACTCTTCCAGTCTCTCATAAGTTATATAGTATTTTTTTTTAAATCATTGCTCTTGCATACTGCATTGTATTCCATCATGTGAATTACCACAATTTCTTAATCCATTTAATTGTGATTGGGCATTTGGGCTGTTTCTGTGTTCTTGTGATGGCGGATAACACAGCTGTGGACATTGATGTACAAATCTCCATTTGTGTTTCAGTTCTAATTTCCTTGGTATACATATGTTTTAATTATTTTCACATAATATTTTCTTATGTTTAGTGAAATGTTTTATAGAGATCTTTTTAAATTCTTTTTAAAAATTAGTCTCAGAATGTAGTTAATCATTAAACCAAAGAATCCACTATCAAGTGCATTCCAACTCATAGAAAGCCCCTGTCTGGTTTCTATGACTGTAAATCTGAAAATTAAGAACTGCCAGTCTGTCTCCGACAGAGTGGCTGGTGGCTTCTTATCACCAAGCTCTAGGTTAGTACCACAACAAGCTCTTTAGTTATTCAAAAAGAAGCATGAGCATTCTTCATTAAATGATAGGAAGTTAGATGATAGGATTTTTAAGGGCTGTCTGAAATACCTGCATATATTAATAATGGATATTTGATTTATTTTTTCAGAAAAGCTTGCAGTTGTGAAGGATTTCCATTCCCTCAGGTAAAAACTCATAATTCTGTGTATGTAGTTCAGAAACTTTATAAGACATTTGTTTAAAGTCTCAATCCTTATTTCCTTTTCCCTTTCTAGGTTATTCAAGAATTCCTTCTGAACAAGAATAAGTTGTTAAAGATAATCAGGTACCAAAGACCTGATTTGTTGTTATTTCAGGTATTTGAAAATAAATTTTTATTTTGTGGTACAAAATTAGATACTATGATTGTCGTGAGCGGTGGTTTCAAACACGCAGCTGTTTACTGCCTTTGCTTTCTATATTGATTTCTAAACTTCCTTCCTTTGCCATACCAGCCAGTGAGACAAGCCACAATTAAACTCTCCTATAGACAATAATTTGTTGTTGTTGTTAGGTGCCATTGAGTCAAGTATTGTGACCTATGAACGAAAGATTTAAATCTTGTCCTATTGTGTACCATCCTCACCATGTTATATTTTCTGATTATAGCCCTCTCTTGCTTTTAGCTATCCATAGTTAGAAGATACCTTAAATGCATATTTTGTTACTAGAGAGATCTGAGAGCAGGAGACACTAATAACCAGAGAATACCAGTGACCACGTAAATTATCATGGAAGACAGTGCAATTTCCAGGAGCATTGTAATTTGCAGGGAGTGACTTAATTCTGAGTTGGACAGTCTTATACTCCCAAAACCCATATCCTACTGATGGCAAGTCAATTCCAACTCATAGTGACTCTGCCCTATAGGAAGGAGTAGAACTGCCCCATAGGGTTTCGAAGTCTGTACATCTTTATAGAAGCAAACAATCTTTCTCCTTCTGTAACTAGATATGTATTATTCACAAAGTAGAAATAATACTTATAAAGTCACTAAAAAGATTGAAAGTGATTATTATCCCCAGTGTATGGCACAGAGTAGCTTAATATATTTTAAATTTTCTTGCTTATCATTAGAATTAAAAGCATCATAGTGTATTGTGGATTCTTAAAGTTTGCTATTTATTTATCGTATTACATGTAATTTTATTTCATCTTGAGGCTATAAAAAGATTAAATAATTTATCTAACATATAGGAAATACCAGACTGGGGTATCATATAAGGTGCTATTTGTCTCTTAATAACTAACCGCAATTTTTTTTTCATTATACTTAAAGAGATTTACCTTTAAAAAAATGGAGTGGCCCAATCACTATGCATGTGAGAAATTATTGGTGCTTTTAACCCACTATGACATGATGGAAAGAAAAGTTGGTAGAAAGAACTCTGATCAACTGCATCCAATTCGGTAATGACTGTATAAAGAAATCTATTTTCACTATGATAAAAAATTTGTTTTTAATATTTTAATAGTGGGATAGTATAGCTCTTTGTTTTACAAAATGAACAAAAGGTCTGTCTATTAGAATAGCAAAACTAGAGCCTATAGTAAGTATATAGTCATATATATATATAGCATGCTCTATTTCAAACATGTAATGAGAGATAGTGGAAGGAAAGAAATATATGAAAAGATATAACCTAGCTTAACAAGGTAACAATTTCCGTGAACAAGAAGGGGTTTCAAAAATATGTTAACTGAATGCGTCTGGGGAAACCAGACTTGCACAGCCCTGGATCTGGGAGCACCAGTCCTTTAGGGTAAGAGAGAAATAGTAAAAGATATCAATGGAGACAGGTTTATTCCTTAAAATTCAGTTGCTGTGATAGAATCCCCTATTGCTGTTGGGATGTTTGGGTGGAGGATAGAAGACTATAGCTACATGTTTTTGCAAAGTCTGCTAAAAACTATTGAGAAAGTACTGGAGAAAGAGAAGTAAGATGACAGAAAAAAGATGGGGGGGAAATAACCCAATACAAACAAATCCAATACTTGAAAAAATTCAACAATCATGGTATGAATCTACCTCAAGTTAAATTCATTTTATAAAATGATTTTATAATTTTTACCCCCTAGGCATCTCAGAATGTTAAAATGTTCGCTGAAATCAATGAAGCTTTATATCCATAAGAAATAAATATTGTGACTCAAAATTGAGTAAAAGTGATTTGAAATGGTTAGATGCAAAATGTGAACTGTAATGTTCCCTTTCAGAGAAGTCTGCAGTGGTAGCAGGGTACCATATAGTTCTTCTGGTCCTAGGGTCATGGAAGTTGAACCAAACAATTGTTTTTGTTGTTATTGTTGTTATTATGTGCCATTAAGTCAGAACTGACTAGTAACTGATCCTCCAGTAATTTTTCATAGGCTATATAAATCACACAGGAGGTGATTGCAAGTCTTTGTCCCAAGGAGTAGCTGGTAGATTCAAACTGCTAGTCTTTGAGTTGGCAGTGCAACTCCTTACCCAGTAGGCCATCAGAGCTCCCCCTCTAAGGTTAAGGATAACCCCATGGGACTACTCAGTCCATAGACAGCATTTCCTTAAGGATAATGTGTAGAAGACCAGAAGGGAGAGGATAGAATGATGGATGGAAACAGAAACTATGAGGAGGAAAACCAGAAGTATTTAGAGAGAGAGATAGTGTCACAAAATGTTAACAGTTGTTTAATGAAATATATATATATATATGTATCCTTGCAGTCTGAAATTGACCAAACATGCAGTCAAGCTGTATTCATGATAATTGATGACTAGAATGCAAAAGTTGGAAAGAGTGAAGAGAGAATGTTGTTGTTATGTGCTGTTGAGTTGCCTGCAACTCATACTGACCCTGTGTACAACAGCCCTAAACCCTGCTCTGTCCTGTGCCAATCTCACTGTCTCTGACACACTCATCCGATTCTCCAGGCACTGAATCAATCCACCTCATAGAGAGTCTTCCCCTCTTGCACTATCCCTCCAACCTCCCAAGCATGACGTCCCTCTCCAAGGACTGGTCCCTCCTTGCAGTATGTTCAAAGTATGTCAGACGAGGCCTCATAGTAGTCGGAAAATATGGGTTGGGTGAAGGAAATAAGGCTGAAAGTAGAATGATCAAATTTTATATTTTCAATGATTTATTCATTGCATATACTTCTTTTAAAAGACACAAATGGCAACTTTACACATTGTTGTCAGCTGGTGGTCTGCATAGGAATCAGATTGACTATATATATTTGGAAGGAATCATTGGAGAAAATATTGGAAAAATTGGAGTCAAAACTAGGCCATGAGCAGACTGTGGGTCAGATCATCAGTTAGTCATGTGCAAGTTCAAGTTGATGCTGAAGAAAATGAAAAGAAATCCATGAGAACCAATGTGATCTTGAATCGATTCCATCTGTATTACAGAATCATCTTAAGAATGGGTGTGAAGCAATCAACACCAATAATTGAAGACCAAATGAGTTGTGGGATGATATCAAGAATATCATCCATGAAGAAAGCAAAAGGTCATTATAAAGACAGGGAAGAGAAAACTGAAAAGGATGTCAGAAGAGTCTCCAAAAATTGCATTAGTGTTAAGAGACCAAAACAGGGAAAATATGCTGAAGTAAAAGAACTGAACAGAAGATTTCAAAGGGCAGCTCGAGAAGACAGCAAAATATAATGGAATGTACAGAGAGCTGGAATTGGAGAATAAAAAGGGAAGAACTCATTTGCATTTCTCAAGCTGAGAGAACAGAAAAATAAATTTAAGCTTCAAGTTGCAATATTGAAAGATATATGGACAATATATTGAATGACCCAGAATGCATCAAAAGAAGATGGAGTGAATACACAGTGTCACTCTACAGAAAGAACTGACTGACACTGAAAAATTTCAGGAAGTACTTTATGAACAGGAGCAATGGTAATGAAAGAGGATGTGGAAGCTGCATTGAAGGCATTAGTAAAAAAATAAGGCCCCAGGAATGAATGGGACACCAATTGACTTGTTTCAATTTACAGTACAGTCCTGGATGTACTCCCCAGTCTGTTCCAGGAAATTTGGAGAACAGCTAGTTGTCTGCCCAATGGATTGGAAGAGGTCCATATTTGTTCCCATTTGCAAGGAAAGTCATCAACAGAATGTGGAAACTGTCAAACAATATCATTAATATCACGTTTTAGCAAAATACTGCTGAAGATATTTCAAAAATAGCTAGAACAATACGTAGATAGGGAACTGTCAGAAGCTTAAGCAGGATTTAGAAGAGGTCGTGGAACCAGGGATATCATTGTTAAATGACTATTAAGTTCCATATAATTCATGCAATTAGCCATTATCATATGAATTTGTTTTTCAGAATTGTCAAGAACCGAATCAGAAATGGAGTTCATTGCTTTGAAGTTGAATGGGAAAAACCTGGTATGTGTTCATTTTGGGCAAAATATTTTATTTGAAACACCTAACTGTGTATGTTTAGTGAATAGTCTGTAACACACATTTGTATAAAATATAAGTGAGAAACATAGCACATGCATCATGGTTGAATTCATAGTTCACCTGTATTATGTTAAATAAACTTAATTGCCGAAGAGTTACCAACTGTGAATATCTGGCGCTCCTCTGGATTTCTGAATTTTTTTTTTTATTTCTGAAGTTTTAAATTGTTGAGAGGAGATTGTTCATCCTTATCCTGAGAAGCAACTGGTAGATTCAAACCAACAAGATGGGCCTTAACAAATAATAAGTTTGATAAATTTCAAGTGATTTTGTTTTGACAGAGATGTTGTAAAACAAGATTTACAGTGAGCTATACTTCTTTGAGGGAGCTCTGGTGGCTTAGTGGTAAGAAGCTGCACTACAGTCCCAAAGGCGTGCGATTCAAGTCCACCAGCTTCTCTGTGGAAGAAGGATGGACATTCTCCTCCCATGTGATTTACTGCCTCCAAAAACCTGCTGGAGGATCAGTTGTGGGTTGGTTCCAACAGCACAGCACTCAAAAAACAACAACAACATACTTCTGTGAGGGATGTGGTTTACCTGGCAAACCTACTCACTTGGAAAAAAATTCGTTTCTGAAATTTGCAATTAAAACTTTACTATGTTATTTATCTTTTAGAACATTATACTGTAGAAGATAAGCAGAATGGAGACTTGATTCTCCAAACAATTGAAGAAGAATCATTGTTTAAAGCAGCCTATCCTGAGATTGTTGCTGTTTATCAAGAACAAAAGTTAGAACGTAAAGAAACAAAACAGAAAAGTAAGTGCCAGATTTACTATTTCTTTTTTTTTTAGATTTGCTGTTTCCTTAAGACACTTATGAACATCGTAAGAGAGCTATTTGTGTTTGAGTGTATCAAGAATGAGAATGTACTCTAGGTTCTTTTAAAGTTGAAAACCTAGGAGTTCTACTCTATGTCCTTTAACTTACCCAGGTATTGGTCATATAATTGCATTAGCTAATTATTAAGCACCTTATATGTGTGTGTATAAGGTGGATTTTTGTTATAAATAAATTTGATTTATTTCCTAGAACTTAGTATGGAAAACAACTAGATTATAATGTTATTTCCAAAGAAAAATCTTTTACAATATCCAACTTTATGGTACAGTTTCCAGGAGTACATTAGATAAGCCACTGCACATACTGAATATTTATGATCTGAACATAATAGTTTCGTTTTACCTATCTTTAGGAAATTAAATAGATTTGAATTGTATTTTTATTCTTTTCAGGTATGAAAATTAAGCCAAAAGAAAACAGTTTGCCAGAATCAGATGATGTAATAAGTTTTCAGTCACACATGAATTTAAAATCCACATATGAAGCCTTTCCTAAGCAGAATTCTAAATTATATTTTGACATTTCTTCAGATGTTAAACTACCCCAAGAATGTATTTCTCAGCCACCAAATAATTTGCTTTTACCTGAAGATGCTTCCTGTTTGTATATACAAGATGAGCTAATGGCTTCTCCAAGACCTTTGGCTACGCGTCAAATTAAAGACAATAAGTTTCCAACTTCAGTATCTAGTCACCCCAATCATTCATCCCATAATATATCGGTGGTTGCTGATCTACACTTGAGTACTATTGACTGGGAAAGTACTTCTTTTAATAATTCTCCAGCTATTCAGAAGAACATTGTCTCTCACAGTGTTAAATCAGAACTTGAAATGAGTATCCCCAGTAATTTTGAAAATAAAATAGAACAATTGCCATATGAATCACAAGGCTATACCACAAACATCTATAAGATATTGGGTGAAGACCATCAGAAGACTAGTCCTGAAGACCATCTGCTTTCTGGCATTACCGATTTACATCTTCAAGATTTGCCTTTAAAGGAACGAATACATCTCAGAGCATATCAGAGTAAAATGCAAGCTCAGTCCCTATTTAAGGTGAAAGAACCTTGCATTGCTGGCAACATTTCTGATTCACCACTTTTGTCAAAGAATCTCACAACTGTTAATTTGCAAAACGAATCCACAAACTCTCAAGTTCCAAAACGGGACCATCTGCTTCAAGAAAACTGTGAAGTAAATACTGCTTTAAATCATAATAAAAAAAATGATGCCCAAACCACTCAGAAAATTGTAATAAAGAAGAGCGTTTGCCTTGACGTATACTCCTCTGATGAAGAAAGTGCCCCAGTGTTTGGAAAAGCAAAATCTACAACCCAGAATGGGAAGCAGTATTCTCAGAAGCATAACCCAGCCCCACACAGGGAAAAGGATGTTAACAAACTGAGTAACCATAAAATACATATTAAAAAAACTGAACAGCGTGTCCAGGCTTCTAAAATAACTGGAAATGAAGAAACCTATTCCTTGGACCCAGCACAAAGGTCTCTAAGATTTTTACAGCGTCAGAAGGAAAAAGAAGCCCTTGATGTGTATTTGAGTAGTCCTCTTCCTTTATGTCAGAGATTAAAACTAAGGTTCCAGAGAGAGCACTTGAAATGAAATTGAAAATATGAAATTAAATTTATTATTTTAATCTCCATATTAGCAGAGGCAGAAGCATGGTGTCTAATTAATGTTGGAAAAAGGGTAATGTGGTCTGTACAAAAGAATGCCCTAATCATTTTAACCAAAATTATTTAAAATGTTAATCTAAAACTTCATTTTTAAAATGTGTGGTGCTCTGGTGGAACATTTTAGAGAAGTTCTTATGGCTTAATGATAATGAGTTGTGCTGCCAGCCCAAACAGTAGTTCAAATCCACCATCTGCTCTGCAAAAGGAAGATGGGCACTGTTCTCCTGTATGATTCGAAGCTTCTGAAAACCGGCTGGAATGGCAGCTTTGAGTTGGCTTCTTCAAATCATAATAAAAAAAAAATGATGCCCAAACCACTCAGAAAATTGTAATGACGAAGAGCGTTTGCCTTGACGTGTATCCGAGTTTATTATTCTCTATCCTAATTTA